TGTGCAGATTACTTCCTCAGCACTCGGGCGATCGTAAAACTATAGGGAGCCACCTTAAGGACAATGAATGACAGTACCAAGGGTGTCACTTTAATGAAACTTGATTYTACATTGTACATTTCTGTCTAGATACTGACAGCACATTAAGTGTATGATTTTTCAATTCTGTGTCCCTGGTAATGTTTTTTTTCACTTGTCCTACCTAAAATGTATGTAGTAATTTAATCAAAATTTTTATTGTTTTTTTTTTAGAATAATTGAGAGAGATGGTGCAAGGCTTGTTATTGATGAAGTTTCACTGGAATATTTAAAAGGCTCAACAGTCGATTACCATGAAGAACTGATTCGCTCAGCTTTCAGAGTCTCTCTCAACCCTAATGCAGAGAAGGGCTGTTCTTGTGGTTCATCATTCAACTTTAAACTTTAACAAATTAGCAATGTTATCACTGCTAATTGTGCAAAACTTAGTTTGAAAAGTTTGTATTTCAAAGATATGTCCCAAATGTGGTCATGATTGTCAAGAATGAGTGGCTGCTTACAAGATGTTGTAAGAATTTTGGTATTCTGCCAATTGTGTCTTCAGACAACAAATTTTAAAATCAGTCAGCATTGAGTGGGCTTCGACAGTCATAAGAACATAGCTGACTTATCCATGTACAGAAACGGGCAGCAACGCTAAGAATACAAGAGCAGGCTCTTTGGCAAACATCTTACAAACTGGAGAATATCAGCATATAAGAATCAATAATACTGACTCCCACTAATGCTAACTAAAACTAGAAGAAGAACCTACTGAGTACAGTAGGCATTATAGTTCTTTTAAAAATCCTTTTGAAGAAATAGGACATGATCACACGATATTGTTTTAGGGTTTCATCTGCAGAGACTCTGAAGTCAGGATGATATTAATTTTGTTACCAAATTGTTCCTGGTGGTTACAAATTGTGCTTATTGTCATTGTTGGTTTCTCTTGCCAGTACTATCTGAACCATGTCTTCCTGTTGTTTTTGACTTGGTAAAATGAATTATACTTTTTTGTATATAATAATAAAGATCATGAAACAAAAGGCCAAGGCTTGGTGAAGAGTGTTAATGATATTTAAAAGTTACATAATTATCTACATAATATATTTGCATTGAAGTCATTGTAGTGTGGTTAAGTACACATTGACAAAAACAAAGTGAGGATATTCAAACTCTAAGTGGTGAACTGGTAGCATGGACACTCAAATATTGTCTTTGCTCACTCAGTTTTTATGTCCTTCCTTGCAGAGTTTAGAGCAGAAGAGAAACTGCTTGCAATCTACACAAATTAATTTGGTGAGCAACAAACTCTGAAGGAAAGATGTAACTAAGGTATCTTCTATCCAGTCACGTTGAGGAAAAAAGACTGATTGTTCACAGTCTAAGTAGTTTGGTTCTTTCCGAGATTTTGCCCTTGCCTGCGGAGTTTAAAGCGGAAGAGAAACTGCTTGCAATCTACACATAAATCAATTTGGTGAGCAGCTAACT